TGGTCTGGCTGTATGAGGTTGTTTTCTACAATCTCATAAAAATAAATTCCTCCAACTGTCCAATTTTCAGCATATTAAGCAAAAACTAGATACGTTTTCCAACAATTCTAATTTCCACTGTGTAAAATATCACATAAATGTATGCATAATATACTGTTTAACCTGTCACTAAATCCTTGTAATTATATTCTTTATTCAGACTGACTTCAAAAGACTTGAATAGACTTCGAGGTAAATTATTTCTTTCTGCATTCAGTCTCGTTCTCTGCCGCTGCAACCATGCAAATCTCCCTGGTGAGTGACAAATAAAATATAAATTCATTCTGTCCTCAAACTGAACGGTTGTTTTATTGCCAGCCCATTAGTTTCACATTAATGTCAACTGTCAGCAAAGTTTGAGGTATGAGCAGCTATCAGGAAAAAAAAATCACTTTCATGATTTGTCATCTGTTCCTGCTTTATGGACTCCCTGAGCTGTGTCAGATCTATTGGGCCTTTTACATGCTTGTTCACATCAGCAACGCATACCCACAGTCGCTGTGGAAACCATTCAGACTGCTGCGAACGCTCGCCAAATTATCTGAAGGGTCTGCGTCTCTCTCAGAGCCAAACAGAGAGAAAGGAAGGGAGGCTGGAGCTCTGTGTCATTTGTGTGGCTAACTGTGGGGGTGTGATGCTGCAGGTTGCTGCCAGACTGACTCTGCTGCACAGACAAACAGTGAAGAGAAAGAGCAACTGACAGAAGCAGGAAAGGCCTCACTTTGGTTTGTTTTCACATAAGCAACGAAAGATGGCCAAGTTTTGAAATGCTACTTGATTAAAACATGAGCTGATATCAGAGAAAACACGCTATGCTATTGTTACTTGATTTCTTATTTTCTGTAAGTCTGTTTGTTGACAAACACTTACACATGAGAGCCAACGATTTTTACCTGAGGACAGATTGAAAATAACCAAAATTAAACACCACAGCTGCAGTGTCAGGGTGAGAAAAGAGTTGGAGAGAGAGTGAAAGAATGAAAGGCGACAAAATAAGACATCACTGCCAAGCTCTGCAACATCAGACAAAACAGATTTTATGCTGACATCTGTGCCGGCAATAGAACAACTGCATGGCAATTTGCTCTGTTCAGTATTAATTCTGTTACAAAGCTGCGTTACTGTGTAATGACACTACCCCACAGTCGGTATGCATACAACTCTAATTAACTGTTTCCAGATAAACAAAAAGTTTAAAGAAAAGTGCACATAATGGAAAAGGAGAAAACAACTGACTTGTATTGGTTTGTTTGAACTACAGCTGTATTTTGAAGATGACATAATCCATTAAAGCTTCAGAATGTAACTTTTAAAAATATTTTCTTGACATATTTATTGAAATTGTCAAGAGCTCCTCCACTTGTTCCCTCAGTTACTGTTGTCATCTGAGGAAATACACAACTCCTGGTCAAAAACAACCAGTCAGAACCAGGAGGCGTGTCTTAGCGCTGTCAATCAACCTCCTGCACTTGCTACTAAATAGAGCAAAAACAACTTGATCTGCTGAGAAATGTCGATGAATGCTCAGGCTAGTTAGCATGGCCATCAATGAGGATAGATGAACAGTTCTGTAACTCAAACTCAAAAATTCTCAAAAAACTACTCAAGTTTGTTGAGACTCAAAAACTATTCCTGAATAGAGAATAGTTGCCTATCCTTGTAACTGAAGGTACGCACACTGTGATGGACAGTCGATGGACAGAACATGCAGGTGAGCTGAAACGTTTAAACGGTGCTCAGCTGGCGAAAAGGCGCCCAAACTGTGCCAAGAATATATCTCACATCTTTACATCACTTCTACCAACCTCAATCATTAATACAAAGCAGAAACGATCCACTCTTCTACGTTTATAAAATTCTGATGTCACCATCAGAACATTGCAACTAAAATCAGGACTCATGAGATCAGGTGACAGTTTCTGGTCTGCTGTCTGATTTCAGTAGACTTGTGCTAACTGGAGTCTCAGTTTTCCATTCTTAATTGGCTTTGTATTGCCACCATCTCCAACTTTGAGGTTATCTGACCTCATCTTACATTTTAGGTTATTTTTAAGTACATGTGATTTTAAAATCAAACAGTATCAAACAGCTGATTAATTACAAAATGCACATTTTCAAACACAGTAGTTAAGTTAGCCATGAATAAATAATACATTTGTCTGCACAAAACATTCACTAATACAGCTGTTTTATTATAGCTACACTGGAGTAAAAAAATCTCATAACAAAAGGTTTTGTTGAAGATGAAGAGCAAAAACATTCTTTTCTATTAAAAGCCTACATTATATAGGCGATCCCAGTCTTAGTTCCGATGTTTTTGTTTTGTTTCATATGGATGAAAAATTAGCATTTTTGCATTTTTCTGGGATAGGCAGAGATAAATGTGAATGTGAAATAGCCATAAACCTGCCTTCTTATTAATTTTTTCAGTAGCTTCAATCTCAGTGAAAACATTTACAAATTGTAATTCCCCATGTGCCAATCCTGCTGGAACAACAGTGATGTGAAGAACTTCCAGTCCAAACTATCCCACTGCATATCACTAATTTAATGCACAAAGAACTGACCCAGAAACATTCAGCTGATGGCTTGTTAGTACAAATCCAGGTTGCACAAGCATAAATGATTTAAATCGCAGTGCTTTATTTCAACTTTGTAATTTAGATTACAAAGGCAGAACTTTCAAACACAGCTGGAGATTAGGATGAGTCCAGTTAAAACCAGAACCTGCAGCACAGGCAAGAGTTGCAGAAAACCTAAACATTGTCTAGCAAAAAGGGAACTTAATGGTGGCCTTGCAATTGTTAGGTTTTCCTGCTTAGGCTGATAAAATAGAATATTTTTATGTTGCTTCACTGGTCGTTGTTTTATTGTAATTTGTATTGTGTTATGCAAGGCTTGCTGCACATTTCCATATACCAATTATACAACTCTGTGATTACATCACTGGTTTGCACACAGCTGGAGGTTTTACTTCTGAAAAAAAAAAGTAATGTTGTTCTAATAAAATCGCTACATGGCATCCTATAGTATGGAAACCTTTTAAATGTCTATTCTCATTTTTCGTACATTCTTTGGACTGCACATTAGGAGTCTTGAATTACAGTTCCTTTCAAAACATATTCATTCACTTTTTTATATCATGTTCTTTAATGGGACAGATATGATGTCAAGGGAAATGATACATGATGTTTTGATCTTTTGCAAAAGAAATTAAACAAAATCTAGAAACTGTCGTGTGTATTTGTATCTCACTCCTCAGAGTTGACAGGTAATTCTTTGTAAAATATCTCAGTCTCAGACAGATTGGATGAGTAGGGTCTGTGAACATCTTTTTTTCTCAGGTTTTGCAGAACTGAATTTAGATCTTGACCTTAATTGGCCTTAATTAAACATCTCTCCTCTTTGGTCTAAAACATTCCAGTAGCTTTGGCTGTAAATATGAAGTGGTTGTCCTGATGATCAGTCTCTGCCCCAGGCTCAGGTGTTTTGCAACATCTAACATGTTTTCTTTCCGGAATGCTCTGTGTGCATACATACAGCGATTTGCATGTCTGTCAAAAAGTTCACTTATGACCTAACCCTCCATGTTTGCTGCTGAATCCTCCATATGGCTTGTGGCAAATGGAAAATGTGTATAAAAGTGTTTTCTTCCTGCCACTCTTCCATAAAGTTCAGATTGTAGGATGCTTCTCTATAAATTGCCTTGTCAGCAGGTTCTCCCTCTTGTATTGTGCATCTCTGCAACTCCTCCAGTTACCACCAGCATGCTGGCTGCTTCTCATTAATGCTCTCCATGTCCAGTCTGCTAAATAAGGGAAACAGGATTGTAGGTTTGCAATTGTGTCGCACTCTATTTTCAGACACTGAACATAACATTTATCTGTATGAGATTTTGAAGCTTAGTATATTGTTTTATAACCCAACGTTGTCTTGAACTTCTCCTCAGCTTCATCCCTGCTCACTATACACTGAGATATAAATGCATTGAAGAAAACTAAATGAATAATTAGGTGATTTCTGAGAACAATTGTTTCCACTGGGTTTTATTAAATCACCTCACTGATTTTTATTTGCTTCATGTTGGTCTCAGGAAAAGAATCACATTTTGACACTTGGAAGTTTAAGATTAACGTTTGCAAATATTTTACCTTCTTAATAATAACTAATGTTCAGTAAATCGTCAGGATTTTTGGGTTTGTATTTTGTTTGTTTTGCAAAAACACATGTTCCCATTTCATTTTTTAGAGATTCTAGCAGGATCTACAATATTATTCTTCATCTGCAAACCACCACAAATGTGACACTTATGGTGAAAGTATTTGAATCAGATGGAAATGAGTACAGGAGTTCATTTTTGATGTCTCGCCATGAAACACCAAGATGTCTTTTATTTGCCAACATGATTAGAGTCTTACATGACTTCTACTTTAAGGATGGATGATAGAAAATATGTTCTATAAGCTTTCATCATTTGTTATTTGTGCCTACACCTCTTAACAATATTTCTGAGTCTTTACTTCAAACTGTCTGCCTTGAACAGGAGATCTTTGATCCGAGTGAGTTCTTTAAATAGAGATTTAATAGTTCGTGTTTTGTGAAAACTTGTGACTGGATTTTTTTCTCTGTCCTCTCATGGCTGCTTGTGATTGTGTACCTGATTGTGCCTCACTTTTTCCTTCCACTCAACTGTAATATTCTGAAGGAGAGACAGTGGTGGAAAAACAGCGCACAACAGTGATAACTTGCACATATAAAACCTCAGCTGTATGTTACTTAAGCACTGGGAAGTTGAGTGGAATGAAAAATTGTGTCTCTGTGTCTTGTACCTTTGTAACCTTTCTGCGTGTCAGACTTTTGATTGAGAAACATTCAATCTGAGTCACTGAATGTTTGGGATTTGTTGATTTCAAAGATCTTAATAAATTAATAAATTAGATGGAATAAAAAAAAAAACTAACCTGTTTCTCCAGCGCTTCTTTCCCGGTCGTCGATATTTTTGGCGCAGGCGTGCGCTCGCAGGTGCATCCTTCCAACAGGTAAATCCCAGCTGGTCGCGCGCTCTGCTCGTTCTCGAAGTAGAACAGTACATTCTGGTAGAGGGCGAAGAACTTCTCCGACCACCGGCTGTTCTCCGCCGTCTTCTTGCTCAGGTAGCCGCGCTTGGTGCCCTCTTTACGCGCCACCACCGACAGGAACAGTGCGTGCCCTTCGTTGTAGCGGACGCTCTTCTGCATTTTTGCCGCGCGGCTTGAAAGGCAGAGGGAAGAAAGTGGGATCTTTCACCGGGAGCCCATGGTCCCCTCGGGCTTCATGTGAAACTTTCCCACCGAGAAGCGCCTCAGTGGCGCCGTGGCGCACGGAAAAGTTGCCGCGGTGACGGAAGCGCAGCAGCGGAGGAACTCATTGTAAAGATTCGCCGATCCAATTCGCACTTATTAATAAAGCCATGGTTCTCTCTTCTAAGAAGAAACGATTGTGAGAGCAGGAGGGGGAAACCCTCAAGCGGGAGACGAAGGGAAAGAATCAGAGGCGACGCGCTGTAATCCGCTTTGGCAGCGGTGAACTCGGTCCCTCTCTCTCCTGCGCTCAGATGCGCAGTCTCTCAAGGTCTCTCTATCCGGCTCCCTCTCCGTGATGCGCGCGGATCCTGGAGCTGGTAGATTTAAAGGCGGAGCGAGAGTTGCTTGTTTCTCCGGGAGGGTGAGAGACGCAGAGATGAAACTCACAGATCCTCGGTGGCAACTGTTGATTCACCTCTGCTTCACAAACAAATAAATAAACAAGAACACAAGTTGCTGCTGATATTTTCTTAATTTTGCATTTTCGATTACAGTTGTTTTTCAACTCACCATCCTTCACCCTAGTCAGTAAATACATTCCACCTGTGTGTTTTAATCTCAGCATAAATGCAGCTGTTATATGAAGGCCTAACTTAGAGGTGAACAACCTTTTTGTCAAGTGGGACAAAATCGTTGAGTCAGCTTACAGATCAAGGGAAAAAGGACTAAAATCAAGCAAATAAAGCTGGAGTTTTTGTTTGATATAAAGTTTGTTGTATTAAGAGAACTGCATCTAATTTTCAAATACTTTTTGGCTCGGTTTCAACAAATTTCTTTCTCAGTCACACAAACCGATTTGGGTCAATTTCTTTGAAGCTGACTTTTAGCAAAGTTACCATTTGAGTAACAATTTCTGGAGGTTCTACTTATAAAAATGTGATTGTAAAAAGATGAATGCTTTGTATTTAATTAACATTTTCCATTGCAAGAAAATTATGTTGGTAATAATTTTATCCTGGTGAAAAACAAAAATTTAGATAAAAAATTGAACTGTAGCTGAGGCCTGCAGACAGATCAGGGTTAAGGTGGGGATGTTAATAACAGGGTTACGTTCTGAAGCAACACCAAAAGCATTCGGCATCTTGGATAAAACTCAATATGAAACTGATTATATGACTGAACTGGACTGAGTGACATTCATATACATTTGAACTGAGATGGACTTGACTTTAAAAGTGCTTTGAGATCTCATATACTGTGTATTGTTGCAAACTAGAGTTGAAGTTTCACATTTTATGCTTCAGGTACTTTTGATTCTTTTTCCTTTGGAAGAACAAAAGGCAGAAAAACACAGTTTATGCCTTAATGGTGAAACATTTCCAATAGTGTTGCATGATGTTTGGAATTCAATTTGCAATTTGGCTTTATTTTAAACATGAACTAACTACATATGCTTTGAACTAACAACATATCAGATTTACTAATTTACATTCAGTCAGATCTTATACTAGAAATATATAAACTATAATTTTAAAACTGTCAGTGCCTCACTGAAATGATCTTGGGCTGTTTAGTCTATTCTGGCTGAGATCGAAGGGGGTATTATCACAAAACACCATCATCATAAATGCAAACTGCTGAAAGCAAAATTATGTTCTTCATTGTACTGTCGTTTTATCCAGTCCATGCAATTAGTGTTCATGCAATAAAAAACCGCTTAACTATGTGCAAAATAAAACAGGGGTATGTTATTAAAATGCTACACGAGTTCAGAACCGTTCAGCAATAAGTGAAGATCTCCAATAAACGCATTTTGTTTCAATTTGGCTCGAAACAAAAACCATAACAAAGAAATTAAATTTAAACATTAGGATTATTTTAATGCATTCCACTTTAGTCGCACACTCCTGTTTTTATTAAAGAATAATGTGTTTCCAACGTCTCAGCAATGAATCTCGTGTAATAATGATGATTTCCGTATTGACCAAAATAACTCGTTTAAAGGTAATAAAATAAGACAGGTATGGCATTTTTATTTACTTGATCATTGAATACATGGACATCACATAGTTGTAGGTAAAATGTGATCCTTTAGTATCAACTATCGCGACAGCTACCAGAACTTGAGGGGCTTAAAACTGCATAATCAACAAGCTCCTTCAGATAGAAAAAAACTATTTTGTGAGCATTAAAAATGTTCACATTGATGGCATGATTTATTTCTTGGAAGTGTTTTCAGTTTGATGGCCGATGGTTGTTGAGACATCAAGAGTTTGACTGCAGCCACTTTTCGAGGGAGGATTTGTCGCAGACGCTCCAAAGAGCTGAGAGAAGTTTCTGATACTTCCTGCAGAGACACAGAAACACACCAAAAACATGAACCATCCTGCACCAGAAAATATTATGTTTCCTTTGAATATCATAGAAACAAAAATGTTGCAGTCTCAAACATTTATGTTGTCTTCAGTTTTAAGAGTGCAAATCCAAACAAATGGCAACATAAATTATTACAACTCTAATAATTATTATTATTAATGTAGGCCTCTTTTAGGGAGTAAAACATACTTCCCTCAAAAAATAAATTGCTAATACCTATATGACCGTATATATAAAAAATTTGCTTTTTTCATAATCAGAACTGAAATGTCTAAAAGTATATATTTCACTTCTCATCTTTGAGTATATATGATTGTAATAGACAGAAAAATACAAAAAAAGTTTACGAAAAAGTATGAAAAAGTCACCTAAAATTCCTTATATTTTTGGCTATGTTATCACATATAAACGTTTCAAATCAACCAGATTTGATTCTCAAGAGAAAACAGAGTGAATACAATAAACTTTTCAAATGTTTCCGTTCATTAAAAAAACATATTCAAAAGTTAAATATAATCTTGTCACTAAACATTACTAGCCACACCGAGTCCTGATTATTAATAAACCTGTAAAATCACAAGATCCACTTTAATAATCCTTTCTAACAACAAAGAGAAGGCTGAAAAATGCTCAAAGTATTTCTCATCAGGGAATAGTTACAAAGCCATTTCCCGGGTTTTAGGACATCAGGGATCCAATTTCAGAGTCACAAATGGAAAAAAAAAACATTTTTCAACAATTTGGAAACCTTCCTGCAGTGGCCAATATTCAACGATTCATCCATGAGGTCACAAAGTAACCCAGAACAACATCCAGGTGTTTATGCACAAACATATTTTATGCATTTTTAAACAACAATACTCAGTTATAGAATTCAAAAGTATGCTGTTCTTAATAACTGTATTTTTTTTTTCTTGTGTTTTTTTTTCCTTACCTGTTATTTTTCTGTTTTTATAGTTTTAGTTTGAATATGCATTCTTCCATTTGCTGTTGGTACACCTACATTTCCAAACTGTGGGACAGTAAAGGACATTTCTATTCCGTTTTATTCTATTGCACTGCGAATGATCATGGTATAAGAATAAGAAACTGGTCAAAAATGGCAAACACAATGAAGAGCTTTAAGGCCAAAACCACTGCAAACTACTTTGTTAAATACTTTGAAATGAAAACGTGCTGAAATGAAAACTACTTCTAGTATATTTCAGAGTAGCTTTGTCTGATTAAAGTGTGATTGATGATCTAAAACATGTAAGTGTGACAAATCAGCCAAAAATGGAAGAAATCTCTAATATGCTTTCTGGTTAAATCTTTTCACAGATCTGGATATTTGTGCAAAGCTTAATAATATACAGGCGATAATTCAGCATAAAAATTCACTGCAGTTCATACATGATCAAGAAACATTCATGAAAAATCAGGCATGACAAAAGAAACCAATTTATTTTATTCAGTTCCAGATATTTAGACACATTACAGCAAAACAAACTAAATTACAGAGACTCTGCTGCTGCCATTTCACTTTGAAATGCATGTCCTACTCTAAGTAAAACCATTAAAATCAAAGCTGCCTCATTAACACCTGCCTCAGGCGATTTTTAAGCATCTCATGATGACAAATCTTTGTTCTGTAATCTTGTACCATTTGCATTGCTCCCTATTTTCCAGGAAGAGTGGCACATTTCTGGTTCAAATGTGTGATCTCAAGCATGAAATTGAGTGCATTTGAGTATTGAAGTTTAAATAAACATTAGCTTTTGTTTAGGTCTATAACATTATGACAGAGCCGTATCTTTGAGTGTCAACTTTGCATTTGAGCTTTAAAATATTTAAATTATTTGGGAACTGGGATTTGTACTGAGCTCATAAGATTTCATGCATCACTCTCAGACAGGTAAAGAGCACACAAGGAGCTCACAGTGTACACACCATAAAAATACAGACTGATTTGACATGCACAGTGAACGTCTCCTTGAAGAAAATGTCAGGGTGGTTATGTGTGTGTTACCTCCTGCCGTTGACCAAGCTCTCCAGCTCTCGGGCTTTACGAGAGGCGGTGTGTAGTATCGGGTCAGGAACGTCAGCCAGTCGGGCCACATTCAGGCCGTAGCTTCGCCCCGCAGCTCCTTCGGTTAACTGGTAAAGGAAGGTGATGAACTCTGGCTGAACCTCTCCACCTGACAAGCAACCAGTGGCATAAAATTAAAACTTAGAGATTACCTGTTACGTTTTCCTGAACAGTTTAGGTTAGGACTATACAAAACATGTTTACTACACTCACAAAATCTTACATAATGCAGTTTTAGTCTGCTAAAAACCGACTGGGAGTTTTTGTTTAATGCTTGAACTGTTTTGAGAAGCAGCAGAGAACCAAATGGAAGTACAAAAATATGCACAAAGTGTATTTTGCATTATTAACCCCCTTTAAAGTGCAAAAATGAATCTAGACATAAACAATGTCTATGTTTTGCGCAATCTAGCCTGGAGGTCTGTAGTATGACAGCAACGTTAGCATAAAAGTGTAAACGTACCATCAGTATCAGTTGTGACATCAGGCTCATTAAGTAAAAAAGCCATGTGAAAGTTGGACACATGTTGAGGATACACCTGCTCCAACTCACACAGAGGAGGATAATGTGTCACAAACAAGGTGAAGGACTTCACCTGTGAGAGAGAAGAGAAAGTATCAGATAATTATCCAGGACGGTCCACTCTGCAGAACCTGCAAAGGTTCAGTTCAGTGTTTTGCACAATCAGGTACAAATGAGTGGAGTATTCAAGTTTTTTTTTTTGTTTTGGTTTGGTTTTTTTTTTTTTTTACCTCAAACTGCAAAACATTCTTGATAAACATCTTAAGACCTGGAAGGAAGTAGTCACATTTCATGCTTGAGGATGATAACCTG